ATAACAACTTACAAGTACAGCAATGCAAATGTGTACAGGACAGATTATTACATAATAAAGGCACAGAAACCAAACAAAAAACAAACAAAACCAAACCCTACAACTTCATATATATTATTTTTAATTAAAATATTTATTTATTTAATTATCTTTATATGAATGTGTAACATGAGGGCTGGCTTGTTGGGGTATCTGTTCCCGCCCGATACCCCACAGCCGGCAAGTCCCAGAGAAAATCAATCGCACAGAGATCTCTATAAATTATAAACTGATTGACCCATTAGGTCAGGCTTCTTATTAGTCCTTGTAATTTATATTAATCCATTATCATTATCTATGTTAGCCACACGGCTCAGTACCTTTTCCAGCGGGGCAGCTTACATCTTTCCTCTCCAGTGGTCTGGGCAGAACTGAAGGGAGCTTCCTGCTTCCCAAAATACTCCCAGTCTCTTTGCTCCACTTCTACTTCCTGTCTGGCTTTCCCGCCTATACTGCCTGCCTGGCCAATCAGCGTTTTATTAAAATATGATTGACAGAATACAGACAATTCTCCCACATGAATGGGTGTTTTGCCTGCATGTATAAATGTGCATCAAATGTACATCCAGTGTCCTCCAAGTCCAGAAGAGGGCGTCGACACCCTGAAATTGAAATTACAGCAGTCAGTTATGAGCTATCAGGTGGCTGCTGGAAATCGAACCCAGGTCCTCAGCAAGAGCAGCCAGTGCTCCTAACTATCAAAGCATCTCTGGAACCCGGCCCATTTATAGTTTATAAACAAAGATGCAAATAAAAGAACAATGCATACCAGTGTGTTAAAGTTATTTAAGTGGTTATTTGGGGTTGTGATGATTAGTAACCAGCTTATTCCTCCTCCCAACCCATCCTTACTCTCTCCTCTCTCCCCTCCCTTCCTTCCCTGCTCTCTTTCTTCTCTTTCTCTCTCTTCTTACCTTCTTCTGTTTTCCAAGTGTTTGGGCATGCACTATGTTACTTCACATTTTTGAAGAGACAACAATGTTTGCTTTTCTTAACTTTTTCGTAAGTTTTTCTTTTTGGATTTGTCTTTTCTCTCTTTTTCTTTTCCTTCTCCTTTGCTTCCTCCTCCTCTTTATCTTTTTCTTCTTCTTTTTTTCCAGACAAGGTTTCTCTGGGTAGCCCCGGTTGTCCTGGAACTCCCTTTGTAGACCAGGCTGACCTTGAACAGAGCGATCTACCTCTGTTTCCTGAGTGCTGGGACTGAAGGTGAGTGCCACCACTGCTGGGCGGGATTTTTCCTAAGGTGTTTAGGTGGGAAAAGAAGACAGAGACCTTTGTATTTCTCTTAATGTCCCTTTTCTTCATAATTCCAAAGTCTCTTCCTCCATAGAGGAAATGCAGAAAAACAGGTGAGGAGGACCCAGGGTCCACTGTGTGGCTGAGCAGTGGATTAGAAAGACATCCCACTCCTTCGGCTGCTTCAGGAACCAAAGTTTAGTTAAATAACTGGTTTCCTCGTGCCTCTTTCAATAATTAAGGGACTGTTCTGTGGATAGACAAATCCACTATTTGACATATAACAGTTACAATATCTTTCCACAACAGTTCCAAAGAATCTTATTTTAGCTTTTATGTACACAACTAAAGTGATTTACTTTTTAAGCTATCACGCCTTTTTTTTTTCCCCATTAGCTAATTTTAAGTTTTTAAATAGTCTAGTATATGACTAAAAGCTTTCAAGAGTGCTCCAAACAAGCCATATTTAAAGGCCAGGATAAGAAACGTGCAACAGAAAACATTTAGTAATGACAAAAAAAAACCACTGAGAGCGGCAGTCACAAGGCTTTGGGTCAGACCTTGAATTCCGAACCAGAGTTCAGATATTAAAGGCGGAGGCTCGTGGGAGCTGCTCAGCTCAGGCTAGGGCATGCTGAAAGCTGGAAGTGGTACAAGGAGACACTAATGACACTTGTGTTGCAGTAACAGCCACATTCAACTTGTCTGCTGATGGACTGAGCTGGGGCAATATTAACTTCATGGTATGTCTGTGGAATTCCCGCCATGTAGTAACCATATTTCCCATCAATCTTTTTAAAAAAAGAAGAAATTTCATCTGTACAATTATCACTGGCACTTCATGAATTTAGGAGAAACTGAGAGGGATATAAAAAAAAAAACCCACTATTATAGCCTCTGTATGTAGCAAGCACCGAGACAGAGTCTAAGACCTAGACCATCAGGAAGCCACATCTGACTCCACGTTCAGAACTTTTCTGCCTTCAGTTTTCTCAGGCCCTATGTGTATTTGCAAGCTGATGTTGGGCACAATGCCAAAAGACTATGTTTGGGGCCAGGCAGTGGTGGCCTACGCCTTTAATCCTGTTTAATCCTTAATCTGAGCACTCCGGAGGCAGAGGCTGGCGGATCTCTGTGAGCACAAGGCCAGCCTGGTCTACAAGAGCTGGTTCCAGGACAGGCTCCAAAGCTACAGAGAAACCCTGTCTCAAAAAACAAAAACAAAAGCAAACAAACAAACAAAAAACCAAGAAAAACTATGTTTGGATCTCTAGCTCCCAAATGTAACAGAGATTTATTATTAATTATGAAATCTTGGCCATTAGCTTAGGCTTGTCCCATTAGCTCTTATAACTGAAATTAACCCATTTATATTAATCTATGTTTTGCCACATGGCATTACTTCATCTCTGTACTGTCCATTCTGCTTCTTCCAAGTCTGACTAGTGACTCTGCCCTTCTTCTTCCCAGAGAGAGTTCTCTGTCCCCAGAATTCCCACCTAACCTCTTCCTGCGTAGCTATTGGCCATTCAACTCTTTATTATACTGATCACAGCAACACATCTTTATATAGTGTACAAATATCCTACAACATTGCAGGGTGTCTTGTTTAATACTGTTTGGGGCCCTCTGGGTCTCAGACCAATTCAAGGGGTTCCAGGCCCAGGAGTCAAGCCAGTATGGATTTACCTAAAGGAAGGAGATGGGGATCAGAAATGCCAGAAGCACCCAGCAGTAAGAAGACTTGGTGTGGCAATGAAGATGGTCCATCTTCAAGAGTTTCAGTAGTCATCTATTTGCCTGTCTGGGCTTCACCACTGGCTTCTTACTGTTGCGGTTGTACTGAGAGTTGACGGTAGGTCTCCTTGCTTTGACTGAGCTATCTCTCTCCAGGTCACTTGAGTATCACTTCATCTTCAAAAGAAGAATTCTTCAGCCTGTTGGTGATGGCACATGTCTTTAATCCCAGCACTTGGGAAGACAGAAGGAGGGGGGATCTCTGTGAGTTTGAGGCCAGCCTGGTGTACAGAGAAAGTCCCAGGACATCCAGGGCTACACAAAGACACCCTGTCTTGAAAAACCAACCTAACAAACAAACAAACAAACAACACAAAAACCAAAAAAAAAAAAAAAAGAAGAATTCTTCATTCTTGAAGAGAAGCAGCTCAACCTGCCCAGGTGTACCTGAGGTGGACTGCACCTGATAGAAATGTATGGGCTTTGGTCCACCGCTTGGCCAGTACTGAATTCTTCCTCACCTTGGAGCATTTGCGTCTGCCTTGGAAAATATTTTAGAACAACTCAATAACAACTTCAAGATGAAAAAAAAAAGCCTACACACTTCACAGTTTCTTTCTTTGACAAGAACGTGTAAATTGAATTTCCTCCCAAGTTAATAAAAAGGGGAGGAGAGGGGGGCTGGTTTCCCAAAAATGTTTTCATTGGCTTTAAAAAATCAAAACGCACCAGTGTTTGGGTGACTAATACTTCCTGTGAAATAAAGATAGAGCAACACATAATTAAGTTCTGGCTCAAATATAATTGTTGTCTTGGAAACAGTTTTGGGTATGAATATGGTTATGTTAATCTCCCTGATTCCTAACAATGATCCAGTTGATTAATTAGGTCAGGCTACCCACTTAAAAGGGTTAAGGAACAAACAAACAACCCCCACCCCCACCCCGCAAAAACCATCTCCGGAGAGAACACTGAGCGGAGGAAAAGGGAGGGATAAATCTCGGATTAGTTATTTGGAAGAGTAGGCGACAAGTGCTTTTTAGATTATTTGTAGTTTTTAAAGATCCGGTCGCACTAGGCAGAAAACAGGGAACTAGGCAGAATACACAATAGCGTGAGGAATCCCTGCCGCTGCTTCTGGGGTGCAACATCCCAGAGTTTTCTCGGTCCGGGGTCTCAGTTCCCAGCAGTTTTGAAGGAACTTCTACTCAGAGCACAGCCCTAAGGGGCGCCGGCGGGCGCTTAAGGGTTTGGCTGGGGCCAAGTGTGAACTCTCGGCGTGCGAGCGCATCTCAGCTTGGCTCACACTCACTCCGAGTGTGTGCGCGTGTGCCCGCGCGCGTGTGTACGTGTGGGGAGGTGTGCGCCAAGGGGGTGGGGTGAGGAGGAGGGAGCAGGGCCCTAGGTGAAGCACGAGGGGAGGGAGGTCGCCAGCTCCCGCCTCTCCCCCGGGGGCACCAGCGGCTGCCTACGGCTCGGCCACCTCTCGGTGACGCCACAGGCCTCGCGACCCTCGGCTCGCCGGCCGCGCGCCCCGCCGCGGGGACAGGGATGGCGCGGGACTGACGGTCGCCTCCCCCCTCCC